GACACACACAGAAGGGGTAAGGCAGGCCACCAACAGCATCTGCTACAAATATTGACTTAGACCTATTAATAGGGTCTAGTAGCATACTAATTTTAGTTTATGAATAAATTTTAGTAATTGTTAATAATCTCACTAATTACTAATGAGTAGCCCTTAGTTTTGGAGCCCTAGTGGCGCAGTGGTTAAGAGCTCAGCTGTTAACTAAAAGGACGGCAGTCTGACTCCACCAGCTGCTCCTTGGAATCCCTATGGGGCAGTTCTGCTCTGTCCTACAGGGTTGCTATGAGTCAGAATCGACTCGACGGCAACAGGTTTGGTTTTTTTGTTTTAGCCCTTAGTTTATTTGAAAAGTCTATGCAATATTTTTTCTATATAAACAACAGGATGATGCTCTTAAATTGTTCATACTCCATCAAGTAGTCCCCAACTTAGGGATCACAGAACAAAGGTACTATGCCTCCCTTCTGCCTTAACTAGACTGGAGGGAATGAAGGTATAGGGAGTTCAAGAGAGAATGGATACAACAGCTTCTTACATTTTCTGTAAAGTAATTCTTGACTACAGCAGGAGGTAAGCCACAAAAAGAAGGTCAGCACAGAAACACCATTTCAGTTCCTTTTTATTATATTTCAGGAAACAATCAAATTATATATGCTTACAGTAGTTAAGTTCTCATCTCTACATGGTAGGTTTTCCTGTTAACATCATGTAGATATCTGTCCTCTGTGAGTACCCTGATGCTTAATAAGGCTTGTGCGCCAGCTGAAAGATTTTCCACATTTGTCACATCTATAGGGTCTCTCTCCAGTATGAATGACCTCATGTCGATAAAGATTTGTCTTAAAACTAAATGTTTTCCCACATTCTCTACATTGAAAGAATTCCTCTTTGGTATGGGTTCTTTGATGCTGAATGAGATCTACATTCCGGCCAAAGGACTGCCCACATTCACTACATCTGTGAGTGTTCTGTCTAGTATGAATCTGTTGATGGCTCACAAGGGTCGAGCGTCTACTGAAGGCTTTTCCACATTCAAGGCATTTATGGGGTTTTTCTCCGCTATGGGTAAACTGATGTCGAATAAGGGTTGAATTCCGACTAAATGTTCTCTCACATTCACTACATTTATAGGGTTTTTCTTTGGTATGAATCCTCTTATGCTCAACAAGATATGAGATCTGACGGAAAAACTTTCCACAGTCATGACATTTATGTGGTTTTTTTGGTGGGTGACATTTATGAACAGTAAGAGCCGACGTCTGTTTGAAGGCTTGTCCACAAATGTTACACTCAAAAGGATTCTCTGAAGTGTGAAGTCTTTGATGTTGAACAAAATCTGTCTCACATCTGAGGACCATTCCACATTCACTACATTCATAAGTTTTTGGTCCTGTAAGAATTTGCTTATGTCTAACAAGCAATGACCTCTGACTGAAGGGTTTCCCATATTCATCATATTTGCCTTGCTTCTTTGTTTGAGCATTCTGATCTTCAATAAAATTAAAGTTTTGAAAGAAGCCCTTCTTATATTCATCACCACTAGTAGGGAGTGCAAATCTGAAATTGTTCACAAAGTCGTTACTTTTAAATAACTTTTCAGAGGTTTTCTTGGCCTTCTCTTGCTTTACCACTGATACCTTATATGATACTAATTCTTCAGAAATTGTCTGCATTGAAGTTAACTTTTTCATCTTATATCTGGCTTCAGAACCTAACCAAACAAAAAGAAAATATATAAATGATGTGTCCACTGCAGAAGGAAAAGAAGCTGATTGTTTGGGACATATGACAATCTAATGAAATTATCAAGCGCTTATTTCGTTACATCATTATACTCAAGAGGCCAAAATTATGAGTTTAATAGTACTCTTAGCCTTCATAACAGAAAGAACTCTTTACATCAATTGACTAAAAAGTGCACAAGAGTGTGTGCTAGAGAATGTGAGAAGAGAACAAATCTATCGCCATTATTGGAAAAACAACTTCCTCTGGTCATGCACGACTGATGTTAAAAATCAGTAGTGTCACATAAATATAGGAGAGGTAGCATCTTACATTTTCTAGATACGCATGTTTGTAATGATTCTGGGTGAAAAAAACTCCTTAAAAAATATAGGATAGAACAGAAAAGGAACCAGAGGGGAAACAGGTACAAAATCCAATAAAATACAGCAGTGGTTCTCAACCATGGGATATTTAGTAATGTCCGCAGACGTTCTTGTCACAAATGGAGTGGTGCTACTGGCACCTAGTGGGTAAAGGCCAAGGATACTGGTAAACATCCTACAATGCATAGGGCATCCCTCCACCCCCAAACAAAGAATTGTCCAGCCCAAAATGTCAGTAGTGTCGAGGGTGAGAAACCTTCAAGTAGAGGGATGTGACAAAAGGTAGAAGGGTACTCAGGAAAAAGTCAGTATACCAAGGAACACTGAGGGAATATGAAAAACAAAATGAATGCAAGAGAACAAGTGATCGTATGGTAAATGGATGAGTAATGAGAGTAGAATAAGGGACTAGCTAGGGTCTAGGGTGGTTGTCACTTAGAAAACACTAGACCAGCTACTTCAGAGAAATAGTACACTGCAGTGGAAAGAGGATAGGCTTCATAGAGAGTTGAAATCAATCTCAATTCTGTCAACCTATGACAGATATCTTAATTTTCAGTTTCTTCATCTGGAAAAAGGGAATGATAATCATACCTACTACCTTCACAGGGCAG